TTAAGTCAAATTAATGCGAATACATCAATATCTACAATACATTATAAATTTAAACTATTTTAGGCATTTATTATCTTTAAACCAACAACGTAGTATATTTTTTAAAAAAAGAAAGAGAGTAAGGTGGTGTTTTAGTTTTAACAAGCTGTCACAAGATCTTATAATCGATCACATAATGTTTTGGCTGTATGTTTCATGAATTGTTTACATTTGAAAAATGGTTAACACAAGCTATGACGTAGTCATGATGCAGTCTGCCCAGGACAATGAACAACCAGCATTTGACAATTGAATCTAATATGGACGATAACATTATGAATATAAGGAACTATTTGGCGTCGTACCTACGTGTCGACACTCGAGTAAGCAATGATCACGACTCAGAAAAGTGTTAAACTGGCACACATTTAGAATTTAATGCAAGTAGAAATTAACTTGAATTGATGTACAATTAATGTCTGGTACAGAAACCACATTTCTTTATTTTATCAATCCTCATACTAGTACTACTTACTACTACTAATGCTAGTCAAAAACCTCGTGCGCGGAAACAGTATTACTGCTGTGTTAGGATGCAGCGAGCGACCACGACGTCTGCATTATATCAGATGTCCCCGGTTGCCCGGTGCAGGCGCGTGGCGTAATGCATGACGTCGCGCGGCGTGCTCTGCTCCACTAAACTGTGGCGAGCCTCGAACCCGGCACGTTTTCACTTTCATTACGCATTCGAGTCTCGGCCGTGGTTGCCAGATACCGCCCCGCCCCGCCCCGCCCCGCCCCGCGCCCTGCCGGCCGTCAGACAGGAGCGGACCTACAGAATAACTTACATAAGAAATGTGCAACTGTATGCAAATTCTATTTAGTAACCGACTGCCGAACTAACAAATTTTATGATTGTTGCAGGCGGTGTTGTGGGTGGTGGTGCTGCAGTGCGCGGCGTGGCAGTGGCGCGGCGCCAGCGGCCACGGCCGGCTCATCGAGCCCCCCTCGCGCGCCTCCGCCTGGCGGTACGGCTTCGACACGCCGCACAACTACAACGACCACGAGCTCTACTGCGGCGGCTTCACACGACAGTGGAACAGGAACGGCGGCAAGTGCGGCGTGTGCGGCGACGCATGGGACACGCCGGCGCCACGTCCGCACGAGCTCGGCGGCCGCTTCGGGCGCGGTGTCATCGTGCGCCGGTACGCGCCGCGCGACACCATTCTCATCAAAGTTGAGCTCACCGCAAGTCACATGGGTTACTTCGAGTTCAGAGTCTGCGAGGAACCGAAGACGACCACTCAGGAGTGCTTGGACAGACACGTTTTAAAACTCGGTGATCGGAACTCCACCAAATACTACCCTAAGGAAGGGAACAAGATCTACGAAATGAAATATCACCTGCCCGAGGATATTGAGTGTTCGCACTGCGTGCTTCAGTGGAAGTACATAGCGGGCAACAACTGGGGCACATGCGAGGACGGCAGCGGCGCCGTGGGCTGCGGCCCGCAAGAGGAGTTCCGCGCGTGCGCCGACATTGCGATCGGCGGCCGTTTCGCGACCACCACGCGGCGTCCCAGGCCGACATATGTGCCGCCGAGCAGGAGGCCCGCCACGCCCCTGCCCGAGGACTCCACCGGTAGCGCTTGGTACAGCGTTCTCATCGCCGTCATTGCACTGCTGGTCGCTCTCGCCGCGCTCGCTGGTATCTACCTGTACTACTACAGCGGCGGCATGAAGATTAAGGCCCTGTTGAAGTGGGGGTCGGCATCGCCTGCACCTGCACCCGTTCCTCCGCCTAGACACAAAAAGTCATCGATTTCCAGGGAGAATCCTCCAATTATATCCTCACCGAAAATTATTTCTGAGGTGGGATTCGAAACGGTCGATCTCAAAGCCAAGTGATGAATGTTTGAACTGAAAACAACACTGCCACTCGTGTGATCGAGACGCAACGTGGCGCAAGTTCCGGTCAGTGATGCCAATGGAACAACAATTACCGTGTCCTACGTCATTAAGGCTAACCAATTACTTTTTCTGTAATAATATGCGTCGCTCGTTACGTCTTTGGTAACTTAAGCTAGGTTTACTATGTATTTGTAAATTGTGTATATTTTATTGACATACATTAAATAAAATACAACCCAAAATTATTCCGTTTCGTTATTGCAAATAGTTTAGCTGTACTTTCAGCGATTTCATAGATTTTACATAGAGTGGCGCAACGACGCGCAGCTGGTTTACTGATGTAGGTATTATAGATATGTGTTACGTGGGACACTACTACAAACATTCGTTATACACTAAAGGTATAGAAATTTAATTTGAACCTCCACAGTTAAACTAATGGTAAATTATTCGGCGTTGTCTGACGCAGATCGCTTTATTTTCGCCAGCAAGCATACGAAGTTTCTGGTGGCAAACTGGCTTTTCCAAAAAAATCTTAAACTAAAATTTTATCATTGTTGTCACTAAATTGTTTATTAACTTCTCCATCTTCTGATATGACACTTAAAAGTCTGCGAGGATCAATTATAGACAAATAAAGACATTCTGAACCGTTGAGAGAGGCGCTGCTATCGCGGTTTGTTCTATCAGAAATCAGAATATATATTTATAAAACTTACTTAGACACAGAAAAAATTAAATAAAACAAAAAAAATGCATGATATTACGTAACTGTCATGTCATGCCATGCAATTTTCTCAAGCACATAGAGAATTTTGTCATTTTTTGACGCCGACAAATTGGCGCTCTATTGTGTGTATTAAAGAATGATTATTTTGACAAATACGTCTATGAAGTACCGAATTGCTGTTGTATAAAGATTAATAATGTACTTAATAAACGATTGTCTGTCCGTATGCGCATAACGCACAAATACCTATATAAATTATCGAGAATTCGTCTTGTAATAAAATTAATCAGTGCCAAAACGGCAAAATTCAAATAGGAACAAAATATTACTTCTTATCGCCAGTCCATTTATAGAGGTCAATAAAATAAACTCAAAAACAAAATGTCACTGTCAGTTGTCATAAGCAATAAACGACAAGCACAAAACAAACGTGCAGCTAAAGAGTATTAAAAGGCAAGAAATAGTATTTAGTTAGCGAAAGACATATATTGTAAACAGAAAATGGCGGTGCGGCCGCAGCACATGCATGATGGTGGAATTGTAGAACGTCGTTTACGGCCGATATACGGTAAAAATTGTGTTAACCTATAGGAACCTTTATCTGAGAAGTTGCTACTCTGCATCAGCTTGTTTGTTTGCAGACTGGTTGGACAATGGGGTAAATAAGAAAGCGCTTCAGGAAGCCGAAAAAGTTCTCAAGAAGAGTCCTACACTACAAGCAGCGCGCGCTTTAAAAGCTCTGGCGCTTTTAAGGTTAGGAAAAAAGTGTGAAGCTCAGGCGGTGTTGGAGGCGCTGGCCGAGGAGAAGCCGAGCGACGACACCACGCTGCAGGCCATGACCATTTCCTACAGGGAGTCGCAGCAATGTATGTAGCACTGTCTGCAGGACAGTTTGGGTAACCACCCTTACTGGAATAATGTTCAAGAAAAAGGCTGAAGTAACTAACATTACACAGCCCAAAGCAGTAGGCTTGAAGTTTAGCATTTTCGAAAATAGTAATTTAATAAAAAAAAAATTAATATAATAAATTAATGTGCAAAAGTTGACGAAAAAATTAAATTTCTTGCAACAAAATTTTAATCTATACTCTCCCTGGGCCGCTGGGTATTCTACTTCAGTTCTGTAAGTGTAAGGTAAAGAGGTGGGGTCATTGACTGTTTAGGTGGCTACAAAATGAAACATTCATTGGGTTTTTTCATCTAATCTATTTTATCAACTAGTTAATCATACATTTATTAAAGAAACACCCAAAGACTGGTGATGAAGAAAGAGACAGCCAGATATTTAAATTTACATTAAATACAACATGTTGAATTAAAAATTGGTTAACAAATGAAATATTAAAGGGTGATTAACAGTTGATTTAACTAGTCAGTGGAATCAACTCTCATCGCTATGGGACAGAGGACATTATAGAATAGTTGTGTATTGTGCAAAGCATGGCACAAGTTTGTGGCATGGTGCAGCAGTGCGAAGGTAGTGTGTGTGTGTGCAGTGCAGAAGGTGTGTGAGGCGTACGAGGCAGCGGTGCGAGCAGAGCCAAGCAGCGAAGAGCTGCACTCACACCTGTTCATGGCTTACGTGCGCGTGGGTGACCACCGTGCGCAGCACCGCGCCGCGCTTCAGCTGTACCGCATCGCGCCCAAGAACCCTTACTACTTCTGGGCGGTTATGAGCATTGTGCTGCAGGTACCTCACCTTACACCTAAACTTTATTACTATGCCAAACATATACATAAAGTTAATTACAATTTAGACAGTACTTGGTGTAATATATGCCATTGATTGTTTGGAATGCCTCTATTCAATCCATTTTTAAGAAAGGTCTGCATTTCAGGCTAAGTCTACAGAAGATGTTTCCAAAAAAGGTATTCTCCTCGCACTAGCGCAGCGAATGGTGGATAATTTTATAATGGAGAACAAAATGGAAGCAGAACAGGAGGCAAGGCTGTACATGATGATCCTGGAGCTGCAGGAGAAGTGGGAGGACTTGCTCGCATTCGTCGAGGGCCCAGTGTACGCGCAGCTTGTGCCCGGCTCCATGCTGCAAGCCAGCATACCCTACCTCAGAAGACTCGGCCGTTGGAGGAGATTAAATTTGGTTTGCAAAGATCTCCTTTGGGAGAATCAGGACCGCTGGGACTACTACATGCCCTATTTCGATTCCGTTTTCGAATTGATGAAGGGCGCCGAGTGCGACGAGAGCGAGGGCTCGGCGGACGACACGGCGGAGAAGTGCCACGAGTTCATCTGCTCGCTGGTGGAGAGCGTGTCGGCGGGGCGCGCGCTGCGCGGGCCCTACCTGGCGCGCCTGGAGCTGTGGCGGCGGCTGGCGGCGCACGAAGCGGGCGGCGAGGCGGCCGCGCTGCTGGGGAGTGCGCGCGCACTCTGCGTGCAGTACCTGCGCGTGTTCGCCGCCAAGCCGTGCGCCGTCGCCGACCTCAGGCCGTACCTAGCCATCATCCCGCAGCAGGAGCGCGAGGACCACTGCAGAGACTTCCTCACGTGCCTGGACTTCGATGAGAACAGCGAGCCCGACAATGTTAGTATATTTCCGCTCACAATGTTTTTTACGTTGAAAGGTTTCGTGTCGGGCGTTCCACGGACATCGGGGCTGCATCGGTTGAACGATGGAATTTTAAGCCTCCATGATATTTAACATGACACTTAAATATGTAAGGTTTTTAAATGAAGACCGGGCTAGTTTTATGGGGGAGGATTCGATTACTAAAAGATAAATTGACTCGAAGACGGTCGCCATCGGCAGGCGGCGGACATCCAGCGGCACGTGTCGTGTCTGTGCGCGTGGCGGCTGTGCGCGCCGCCGCCGGACGCCGCGGACAGTCTGGCGCTGGCGGACGCGCTGCGGGCGCACTACCTGCGCTGCGTGGGCGCCGCCCCCGCGCCCACACCGCCCGCGCCCACAGACGCCAGCCCCGCGGACGCCTACGCCACGCTCGCCGCGCACCACTACTGTTACGCCGGTAGGAGCGCGCCCACGCACATCGCCCTCAAAGAACGAAGAATACACGCGTATATAACAATGATGGCATTGCAGCGGTGCAGCGGCACGAGGCGGGCCCGCTGGTGCAGGCGCTGGGCGTGCTGGAGCTGTGCGCGCGGCGCTCGCCCGCGCAGCCGCACGCCAAGCTGCTGCTGCTCGCACTCTACCACATGCTCGGTACTTAACTTACTTAAAATTTTGCCACCCGAAAAAGGAAACCTCCTCCGCCGGCTCGGACACATCCGCGACGTTCGCGAGGATTAAGTTGTCCAGCATTTCTTGCGGATATATGTTCTCAAACATAGCGGTTTCACCGACTCTTGCGCGTCTGCGGAATCGGCTCCCCACCGCGCTCGGCCGGGTGCGGGGCGAGGCGGGAGACGCAGTGGTGAGTGTGGTGCGGTGTGCGCAGGCGCCGGCAGCGCGGCGGATGCGGCGTTCGCGCGGCTGGAGGCGAAGCACGTACAGCTGGCGTCGCTGGGGTGGCTGCACGCGGCGCGCCTGCCCGCCGCCGCGCCCGCTCTCGCAGCAGCGCGCCTCGCCGACGTCCACACCTTCTACCAGCACCACGCCAAGGACGTCAGTATACCTCCGCCTCTCGTTTACTAAACACGCCGGCCGCCGTTGACCGAGGTAGTTGGGCCCGCAGAGCGTGGAGCAGCTGACGTACGCGTACAAGTACGGCACGTTCGAGAAGCTGGTGGAGCTGGGGGCGTGGCGCGCGCGGCTGGAGGCGTGCGCGTGGGCGGCGCTGGCGGCCCGCGAGCGCGCCCTGCTGCAGCCGCCCGCCCCGCCCGCCGGCCCGCCCATACCGCCCGCTTTGCCGGACGCGCTCACGTGAGTCGCCGCTGTTCGATAATTAGATCATTAAAAAAAATCGAGACCTTCGTACACTTAGCGATGTAAAACCCGCTGTGAAACTCCGCAATTTTAGTCGCTTAGCGAGTTACACCATACGATGTCATAACTATAAGTAAGATGTCCGGGTGCGCAGCGACAACCGCGACCTGAGCGTCATAGTGAGTTGGGAGCCGGCGCAGCGTCGCGTCGCGGAGCTGCGCGCGCGCACCTTCGAGCGCGACGTGGCCTACCTGCGCCTCAAGGACGCGCTGGTGCGCGCGCTGGCGCTGTGCGCGGAGGCGGCCGCGGCGCACGACAACACGCACCTGCTGCGCCAGCTCGACGTCTGCGTGGACGCGTTCGACGCCGCCATGGAACGCTGCAGGCGCGAGTACCGCGCCCCCGAGGAGGACCTCAGCGTTTCCGCCCCCCTGCCTTCTAGGATTTTTGGTGAGGGAATTTTTGAATACCGCCGCAAAATGATTTTGTAATAGTAAATAAATAATCATTTTTACCGATAGTCGCGTTTATGTCGATGGAATATTTCAAGAAGTAATAAAGTTAGATGTATTGTGAACGTCAGCGCTGGTGCAGTCTCCGGCGTCGTACGGCGCGCTGTACACGCGCTTGCTGCGCGTGGCGCGCGCGGCGTGCGAGCGGGGTGAGGGCGAGGGCGGGGCGGGGGCGGTGGAGCGCGCGGCCGCCGCTCTGAGCGCCGCCCTGCGCGCCGCGCGCCCCGCCCTCGCGCACCTGGCGCCCGCCTCGCTCTGGCACACGAGGGATGCGCTCGAGCAACTCTCCAACGTCCTAGAGGTGAGGCTTCCTCCGGTGGCTCGACGACGGTACGATGCGGAACCTCGGTCACCCGATGCTTTTCTAATTTGCAGTTCGCGGGAGTGATGACGTACGTGATGGGCGTGTGCCGCGAGGTGGTGACGCCGACCAACTCGAGGAAGGCGAGCAAGAAGAAGGCGAGCGTTTCCCCGGAGCGCGCGGCGACGGGGCGCGCGCTGGGGGAGGCGGGCGGCGAGGCGGCTGCGCTGCTGGGGGAGGTGCGGGCGCGGCTGGAGGCGTGGCCCGCCGCCTGGGCCGCGCCGCACCTCGCCTCGGGTGTGGAGGACCGGCTGGCGGGGGAGTACCGCTGCCCGGTGGCGGGACAGCTGGAGCGCAGCTACCGGGAAGCGCTGCGCCACGCAAGGGACACGCTCGACGATAAAATTAAATACTTGAAGAGTATGCAGTGACGGCGCAGTGCAGTGACCGCGTAGTGCAGCGACTGCGCAGTGCAGTGACGGTGCAGTGCAGTCCAGTGCAGTGCAGTCCAGTGCAGTGACAGTGCTACACGACACATACATATCCTGTACATAGAGTGCGGCGCGAGGACTCGTCTACTCGTTTTTATATGCTACAAAAAATAGCAAGTGATAGAAACGCCCTTATTATTTTTAATATAAAAGTTAACATGACTCCCTTTTTTTCCTTGAAATTAAAATGACACCGCGTATATTATTGCATACGGCGAAGCCAGGGGCGGTTGTTAACGTGCCGTCCTACCAAGAGACACATCTACCCCCAACAGTGAGCTGTCAGATCTTCTATATATGTTGAGGAAATCCCGCTTATTGTCACTTGTTGACGCTAAATCATTTGTTGGCGACACATTGGTAGCTTCGCTTCGTGCGCTGCTGGTTCTAGTCAATGAGGCACCTCCGCTCCCCACTTGCCCCGCGGGGGGAGGACAAGAGCCTGTTTCACTCACTTCGCAGTATTTTGTAAAAAACTATTAATGCCATTTTTATGTATTAACAATTGTCCCAGAAATGTAAATAAGTACTATAAAATCTGAAAAGATTCCTAGGTTCCAAACCTTGCTTTGGAGAGTTTTGTAACATCCAGGGTGTATTGAACTTTATATTGAAAAGGAATACTGATAGAATATTATCATACCAATATTTTTATATGATCAGCGGCAAATATCATATCTGTTACTAATAAAATTGTAGTTTTATTTTAGTGAAAATTTTCTCTGATTGTGCACCGAGGGCACTCAACATAGGAGCTCCCCTTACATTCTGGTCCCGGCTAGTGGCATGCATTTACTCACATACATTTCAACAAGCAGACAACTATTTAGTTTTACAGTGTTGATAAAAACACACTTGATAACGCCGTATGCGACGTAGTCCGTCGATGAGGAACCTTGCTCGGAGAATGCCATTGGAAGTTTGGTCACACTTTAATGTTGTACACAGTATAATTCACTAATATTAAATTGTCCTAACTCTGATGAGACATCAATATGAGCCACTTTGCGGCTAACGATGTGGTATAATTGTCCGCAGTAGGAGGCGGTGGGGGTGGCGCTGGATGTATGTCATTGTAAGCCACATATTAGGTTATTCTAATATTTTATTATGGGAATGTTAAGAGATCGGTTCCATAATGAAATAAAAAAATCATGTAAATAACTTTATATATTTTATTTACAACACGAATATTACAATAAATTATAATTTTAGACAAAATTTAAAAATTGACAAGAAAATAAATTATTTTTACATTTTGTTGGTTTACGTTTCGAGTTTCGACAAATGTTAAACAATAAAAATACTAATTAGATTGTGCGACAGCGACGCGCCCCGCGCCCCGCACCCGGCGCCCCGCACCCCGCACCCCGCACTCGCGGCCACGTCCACTGAGGACATCCTCACGCAATGCCACACACACACACACACACACACTTCACTCTACTCCGCCAAGTCAACCAGCAAATACGAAACATTAAATGTATTTGTAAAGATCTGTAGAATGCATTGACCTCAACATAATGAGTAATAAAAGTATTATCTTAAAATGTGATCAGTGAAGTTTGCAAGCTGTTTATCAATCATATAAGATAGCATGTCCTGATAGACTAAACAGTTGCTGTCGAGATGTGGAATAATGCACGTGGAGTGCTCGCCCACTATAGAGAAGTCCGAGTGCGGTGAGGGGTGCGCCTGCGGGGCGTGCGGGGTGCGCCTGCGGGGCGTGCGGGGTGCGCCTGCGGGGCGTGCGGGGTGCGCCTGCGGGGCGTGCGGGGTAGGCCTGCGGGGCGTCTGCGGGAATGTGTCAGAGTATGGAAATGATTCAATTAAATGTTAACCTCCTCGGACGTCTATTTGTACTTGCACCGGAACAAAACTTACGCAACAAACAAGACTTAGCAGGAATTTGTCAGACTGCGCCGCCCCCCGCCCCCCGCGCCCGCGCCGCACCTTTCGGCTATACATTTTGATTATTATCATTTAAATTAAAAGACGGTCTTTAGTCATTTAGCAAAGATGATGTTCCACCGTGGCTGCGGGGGCGGGGCGGGGCGGGGAGAGCGGCGGCGCTCGCTTACGTATAAGATATAAGATAAATAAATACGACATAAACAAAATGTACACAATGAAAGTAAGACGCACACAGAGAACGCTCTCGTGTATATTTACAGACTTAACCTACATATGCAATATACACATTCTTATCACAATGTATTATTATTGAACATTATACTAAATAAGTAAAGTCAGAATACTGCAGCACATCGGAATGTGGTTTTACTTCACATGAAAGCCGGAACATCACCATGTGAGTGGGGGTGGTGGGGGGCTCGCGGCCGGCGGCGCGCGCTCAGCTTCACAGCGTGTGGAAGAGGTCGCGCGCGTTCTTGGAGTACCGCCGGTACGAGCACTCGCTGAATCAGCTGCCGCTGCAACCAACAAGCGCGGTGTGTGAGCGGGCAGGCGGTCAGGCAAGCGGGCGGGAAGGTAGGCGGGCGGGAGGAGATACATACCTGCGGTCGTGCAGGGCGCGGCGGCGCGCGGTCTGCCGCTGGTGTTCGAACTCGAAGTCGTCCTCTGTCAGGGCGAGGCGCTGCATGTGCTGCAGCAGGTAGTCCTCGGCCAGCACGGCGGGCGGCGGATGGCGCAGCAGCTCCAGCGTCTCACAGAGGCCGTGGGCGCGGCGGCGCGCGCGCGCAGGGCCCAGCGTGCCCGCCAGGATGACGAGGGCCGCTTTGAAGAGCACCTTGACTCCCTCGCAGAGGAAGCAGTCCCAGACGCGCAGCAGGCTGTCCCAGGGCAGCGTGCGGGTGAGCGCGCACAGGAACCACTCGGTGGCGTAGAGCACGGGCTCGACCTTGTGGCGCAGCAGGTGGCGGTGCACGGCGGGCGCGGTGCGGCGCAGCAGCGCGTGCAGGATGTCGCCGTCGCGCTGCAGCACCTCCAGGCCGGGGTTGTAGTAGCCGCTGAGGTACTTGTCGCTGATGCTCACCAGGCACCAGAAGGCCTGCACGGCGGGCATGTGCATCAGCAGGAAGGCGGCGACTGGCGCCTGCGCCTGGAAGTACCCCACCTTGGGGTTCAGCACGGAGTACGCCTTCAGCACCGAGAACAGCTCCTGTTGCCTGTCATCGACACCGCTTCGTGTAATATCATGTATTAAATGTACTTGGGTAAGGCCGAAGGGACGGGTTCGAGACGACTCACCCGAGGCCCTCCTCGCGGATGAACATCTCGTGGTAGGGGAACTGGCGGTGCAGGTCCTTGCGAATATCGTCCATGCACTTGGGGTCCCCGGGCGCGCGCAGCAGCTCCTCGTAGTCGTGCGGGTGCTTGTCGAGCAGCAGCTGCCCGCCGCACAGGTACAGCCACGCCTTGGGCCGCACCGACGCCGGGATGCCTGCACACCTCACGTTACTTCACACTTGCATGTTATGTTACATCATATTTGCTAGCTGGATGATACAATTTTACTTAAATAATATTATGCCAAACATAAAGTAATGGCATATGATAGTAGACATTTCTATGTATTGTTTTGACGTAAATCGAAACATCCTGTAGACAAGTTTTATACAAAAGTATTTTCCCTTTTTTTTATAACCTTTGTGTTTGTGTTAAGTTACGGCGTCGTTCTGACAAACATGTATGAGGAGGGAAACGAGAGATGGGGGAGACGCACCTTTCCTACAGCGCTCGCGCACCTTCTTGTAGTTTCTGCTCATGAAAGCTTCCCAATTGTCGAGCATGCGCAGCCACTTCTGCTCGCGCTTCAGGATCGTGCTCGGGGATACGGTCCTCTTGCTGCAAACAAATATTCTCATCATTACTTTAATTATATTGCTATGCTATTGAGGAATATTTACACCGAATCCGTGTTCAGTCTGTTGAATACTCTTCATTCATGTTGAATATGTAATTCTCTATTTACTCAGACAAAACAAACAAAACCTTTTACTTTCCACCGCGCATCGAATCGAGCTTGCGCACAATGCATTTGCGAAACACTTCGGCGCCTAGGTTCTCACCATTTTTACAAGTTATAATAACAATCGAATGTTGCAGCACGTGTGGGGCGCGGAGGGAGGCAAAGCATTGTGTCACTGGGCGGCGAGGCACGATAACCTACGCAATATAATTTCACCTGACACCGCTCAAGTTTTTACGTACGACTGCTGACGTCGCAAACGCTACGCCACAATAAAACTGGTATCCCCACTGTGAAGCGAGGAAGAGGGTGAAAGACTTCACAACATCACAATTTTGTTGTTGACTCCTCTGAGGGTCTAGACTCCTCCTAAGGTTTTGGCCTAGTTTATGGAATTAACTGACCAGAGATGGAATGTATAGCAAACTATCACTGGAGGCTGACTTTTAATCAAAGCTTGTTAAAAAGTTTTAGTTCAACTAACTGACACAAAAATACACCTAAAGAAATAGAATTATTAATATTCAACATAGCAAGAACAAAAACTCAACAAACTGTCCATGCACTTGCGACACTGGGCATGCCAAATTTTCTAGTTAACCTTTAACACGCCCCGCCCACCCCCACATACATTCACAAAGACAGCTAAGCACCAGCCAGCAACCAGTACATAATCACCCTTCAGAAAATATTAGAACAGTGGTATTTCCCACAACAATATTTGTTAGGTGCACAAATGGGCTAAAATCACCGGTACTACTTGTACCACAATGATGCAGACGAAAAGTATAAAGTGGAAGCAATTCCAGGTTATGTTTAATGAGTGTACATGCCATAGGACTAATTTTAGTCTATGTTCTCTTCCAACCCTTATAAGCAAATTATGTGAAGTGGATTTGGGGGAGAATTGAATGCACAGAGAGAGGATATTTACCCTTCCTATGTGCCATTTCATGCCTGTCTTGTGTGGTTATGGCGGTCCGTTTGTGCAGCAGATGTTATTGTTGCTTGTGTCTACCACTGTTGTAATACGGACATGGGAGGTAGCACATGTGGACATTGGCTTAACCATTTGACTATCATGTTTAAAAAAATTTTAAATGCTGTTCTTCAATATTAAGATTTATGCATATTAAACATATTTGTACTAAGCTATTATTGTAGTTACTTGCGCTTCGCTTGCAGAGTTTATATGTAAAATAATATATCATAGTTTTAAAATGAAAAATTGGCGATGGTAACCAATTGTCGGGATTGTTCACTTTTATACTTACGGTTCTGGACTGTACTGAGCACCTCCAAAAAATCCATGTCTATCGGGCTGTGTGGTCACTGAGGAGCATATCGATGCGTTGTCTGCCTGCTCACCGCGGTCCCCCGCACTCTTAACGCTCTTCTGTAACGACATTATCGAAAACGTATCTCTATCACTATCTTCTTTCTACCATCACGCACGAAATTTCGCCACAATGCACTGTGGGCAGTAAAATTGATTATAAATCATGTAATTATTCCGGATGTTCACGCCCGTCCACGAATCACAACACCCCAATGCAATTTCGTAAGTCAGTCATGGATAGTGAATTATTAATTGAAAACATGCCGATCTTTATTCATGATCCATCCGCACTTTCCTAACGAAAATAAAATCACTAAGCATTTGCAACAATGAAAAGAATGCAAAAAACCACAACAAACTATAAAATATAAAACATTGAATTTGCGAATGTCCTGCTTGCTCACTACATACACATTAGAGATGGGCGTTGATTTATCGAACTAGTTGCATCAACCGTTGATAATCCTTCAAAATTTTAACCAAAGAATACATAAAATAACCGTTGGCCGTTTTTAACCGTTGACCGTTTTTCATTTAACTACATGAATTCAACTCAAATAGAGGCAGGAATCACTGGTCGTCTTCTTTTTTCTCCACCAGTCTTCGAATCTTATTGAATGTGTCATCAAGTACATACTTGACAAAATCTACTCGTTTTTAGAGTAGGTTAAAAAAAATTAAAACTAACGAAACGTCGTTGACTACAAAACATAGCCGTCAACATCCCATCTCTAAAACAATACACATCGCAGATAACAGATAGCACAAGCAGCACAGATAGCAGCTAGCAGCTAGATCATAGACAATGCCAAGAGTATGTGATATCGAAAATCGGTTCCACAATCGAATTTAATAATAATATATTAATAATAAGATATGGCCTAGATGGCTTAATGGTCTTGTAACTAGACCATAAAATATTTTAAAAACTATGGTTAAAAAAAAGTACATGAAAAACATTTTATATACTCTTTGAACAAAACAACATAACCTTACAATTTTTGTTTAGTTTTATTTTTAGAAATCGTCTTAGCAATTTAAATGCTATTAAAATGTTTTCATCGAAGAACCATAGTATTTTAAGCCAACTTGTTAGATTTTCATCTTCGAATCCAGAATTTGTAAACAGAAATCCAAGGAATCTGGAAAAACTCCGCATAGCCCGTAAACCCGATGGTTACCATTTAGAAAAACCTGGACGTAAATATTGGCACAAGTATGTGCTCAGTTGATTTTATTTATAGTTCTTATATTCTTTCTTATTCAATTACTTAAATAAAATATTGTTGTTTTTTATCTGCGCTCGGTTTACATAAGCACTATTGACCCTCTCATTTTAACTAAACGTTACCAAGTTTTACTGGATAAAAGAGGACATTACATTACCCTATTAATTATTGTGAAGTAATTCTTACGGTGAAGGAAAACATGCAACCTGCACATATCTGAGAAGAAATCCAAAGATATGTGTGAAGTCAACCAACCCGCACTGGGCCAGCGTGGTTGACTATGGCCTAATCGCCCTTAACTTAGGGTAGGCTCCAAGCCCCTCGGTGGGGACGTATAGTGAGGTGATGATGATGATGATGATTAATTACTGGTATCAACGGAGGTTGTTTTAGTAAGATAAGGCAGTAGCAAGTATTGATTGTATAATTGTAACTTTCAGGTTAGTATTGACAAGGAGCAACAGGACAGTTACAGCACAAGTTATTCACTTTGTGAATGGGCCTGTTGTTGAAGCTAGGACCTCTGAATGGGCCTTAAAGAAACAACTATACAGCATCACAGACACATCTGCATACTTCAATTTAGGCAGAGTTTTTGCTCAAAGATGTTTGGAATCGGGCATCAGTGAAATGTATTGTGATATAAAACCTGTCAAAGGAGGAAAAGTTGAAAAGTTTTTGAATGAAGTAATTCATGGTGGTGTTAAACTGGAGGAGCCACATGTGTACAAGAAACCTAATCCTTGGGATATGCACAGACCAGAAAAACCATGGGAAGTTGTCGAGGAATAAATAGACATAAACCCATTTCTGTTTATTTTAGTTTTACAATAAATTCTATGTAGTAAAATAAAACCTTTTGACATTATTACCACATAAGAAAATGTACTTGACTATCCCCCATTTATAACTTGACCAGATGTCCCGTTTTGAATAGGACTGTCCCATTTTATAGATACAAGTCCCGGGGTCCCCGGCATAGAGCCGGACTTTTTAAATACACATACAAAATGGTACATTTTAAGAATTTGTTATTCTATATTAAATATAATAAAACATTTCTTTTCTATGTCTACAACCTAATGTCAGCAATTACAACATATTTGTGAATATTTTTTTTTATCAAGTGCCCTACAGTGACGTCATGCTATAGTCATTTGAGCATTTGCAGTTTGATAGTTGGACATTTATTAGGAAGGCACTCGGTTTTGCGATAATAGCGCGGACGATGCTGCACGGGAACAGCTAGTTAATTATATAATATATAATTAATGTATGTTATCCATACATATATGTTTAAATCATATTTGTTATCCAAGGAAAAAATTGTTGGTGTTGTAGTTACATAAGTACTGAGTAGTTTTATTGCCACCGAGGGTGTTACTGTGAGTAAGAAGCTCAAATGATTGTGTTTTTCTCCCAAATGACAGGTATCTTGAAAATACCTCCCCCTCCTAAAGAAATCACGGTTAAAATAATAAACACATTTAACCTGCTACTTTAATATTGAGGGGTTTGTTTGTTTTACAAAAAATAAGTTTATTAGGACAAATCCATGGTTTAAACGTATAGCTAGTACACTCTTAAGTTAATATAAGTTTTAATTTTATGAACTATTTATGTTCTGTTGGTTCTGAACAATTTAAGCATCGTGTATAATCGGCCTTATAAAATTATTAGGGCTTGCTTGCTTGTGGCTTCCAATAATTCTATAGACTATACCAACGACAATAAATACCAAGTAAATACTTTTGAATAGTTTTTAATTGGTTAAATTACTACCTTATATTTTAGTATTTTCTTTGTTACTATGATTTTATGAGTAAATATAATATTTTTAAACGCTTCCGAATAAATTTAAAAGCGTCTATATACCTATCTATACATAATTAGGTACGTTACGTCTCTCGCATGTAAAATGGCGGAATTCACTATGGCGTCTGTGAATTTTAGTTTGTAGGGAAATCTCTGATATACAGTTTTCTCTTTCTGACACATTGCGACATCCATAGGAAAGTGAACACGCGTAGCAATCAATATGTCCACGTGACCTGTCTTTTTCAGTTCTCTTTCGACTCGCAACTAGAGTAATTGCAAATGCAAAATGTGGAAAAGTATATTTGATAGCAAAATCATAATATTTTGCGTTTAAGTTATTGTGTTACCGTTTACAAAATGCCACCATCAATTGGTGTTAATTTACGTGTGACTGGACACTGCAGTCAAGGCGGGAGAAAGTATATGGAAGATTTGTTTTCCGTTGCCTATCAACAAACGGAAGACGAAAGGGATTTGGAGTATGCTTTCTTCGGTATATACGATGGCCATGGAGGAAGCGAAGCTGCAGCCTTTGCAAAGGAACATTTAATGGATTCTATTGTGAAACAACGGCAATTCTGGTCGGACAACGACGAGGATGTCCTCAAAGCCATTCGCAATGGTTACATGTTGACCCACTTGAACATGTGGAAAGAACTAGGTAATTCTATGTCAACGGTTCATTATCAGTTTTGATTTTGAGTGCATCATCAGTAGAATTGAGAATTGTTGGAGGAGAATGTCTGCACTCTCTGATTGGGCAAAGTAATTCGTGTGACCTTGTTGTGTGCTCACTTTGTTTTTTCTGAGTGCTTTGACATTGAGTCAACAAAAGAGATTTAAATTGTTTTTCCAATGCTCTAGCTAAAGAATAGTTGGAGCTACTATCTCAGCTTATGGTGTATAATTGCACAATATTTGGGATTCCCACACATTTTGCAAAGTGAAAGCTGTTTTACCAGTTTTCATGTTGTATAATTTTTTATTTTTTCAAGTAACTTAACTATCAGTTAATGGTGATTTCTAAATTGTTTATAATGATATCTTTCAGAAAAATGGCCCAAAACTGTGACAGGGCTGCCAAGCACGGCAGGGACCACAGCCAGTGTTGCATTCATCCGCCGGGGAAAAATATACATAGGGCATGTGGGTGACTCCGCTATAGTGCTGGGATATCAGAAAGATGGTCAGTATGCTCATTGTTACATTTGCCTAAATTTTTGACTTTTTTGGAATTTACTGACCCACTCAACATAACAGTCAATATACTATAAGTAGACATGTACAGAAAGACAACACAAGCAAAGTTTCCACTGTAGCACTTGTATAAAAACATTGTCCCTTCTGTCATAATGTATTTTAGTGTTTACAGTAGCGACAGTTCACAATCTTACAGTTGAACTGTTATTATCATCCATATTGCATTTACAGCGGCCGTTTTTAAAGATTTTAGGCCATTTTTAGAGATTAAGTATAACAATAATTGTATTTAAAATATCAAATAAGAAGTTATTAAAGTTATAATTTGTGATTGTGTCATTTAGTTCTATTGCAGTACTCATGAGTTGTGAATGATTCATTGTAGGTTGTGAAGAGTGGGCGGCTAAACCACTAACATCAGATCATAAACCTGAATCAAGCGCAGAAATAGAAAGGATTCAGAGATGTGGGGGCAAGGTGATCACCAAGGCGGGCGTGCCGCGCGTCGTGTGGAATAGACCGCGTCTCGGGCATAAGGGACCAATCAAGAAGAACACTCCAATGGATGAGATACCATTCTTAGCTGTGGCGAGGTCACTCGGGGATCTCTGGAGCTACAACCCCCAAAACGATGAGTTCATTGTCAGTCCAGACCCGGATGTGGGGGTGTTGACCATAGACCCTGCCAAGTTCAGGTGAGCAGCCTTCCCTCCATCACAATGTGCACAAATATAATGTGCAGTTACTACAAACAACCTTATTGCTAGAATGTATTGACACTTAACTTAAAAGTGTTTTATTTTTGCGGTTTTTGTTTTTAAATATGATCTAGAATAAAAACACCACTAAAACTTCTTTAGCCTAATTACTTGAAAATTTTCACACCACCTCTCATTGCAAATACAAAAGTGAATAACCATTGTAACAGTGTATGTAAGTGTATGTATAAGTACACATCGGAGGGAGGGGGCGTTAGCCGATGACAGACCTTTGTACCGGCAGTAGGTGTCGGTACGTGAATGAGAACAATAACACAACGAATGCTACACCCATTTTAGGTTTATTCCAAAAACATTGAGGATACAATGTTATTTTCTGGCAACAGCTAGTTTAATGAGAAAGCAATGTAAACTATAAAAGTAATATTATAGAAATTTCTTATTAAAATAGATAGGTTTTAAGAAATAGCTGAGTGGTCATGTAATGTAATGTAATGTTTGAATATTTCAGATGTTTAATATTTGGCACGGACGGGCTGTGGAACATGATGTCTGCGGAGGGCGCGGTGGCGCTGGTGCAGGCCACGGAGCGGCACAACGAGGCCGCGCTGCTGGGCGCTGCCGGCCCGCCGCGCGACTGGCTCAACCCTTCCAAGAGCCTCGTCGACCACGCCCTCGAGAGGTACTCCCACCTCTCCCGACTCCCTGCTGCTTCACTTGTCTATGTCTCTTTGTCACTACATCTATGTATGCATGCTCATGTTTGGATAGATGGATGTTTATTTATATAACAATCCAAGAAATACACACAATATCCAGAATATTGTTCCTTGTGCTCACTGCAAAAGATACCTTGTCGACTTCTGTGTACAGTAAACATGAATTTATAAAGTTAGCGCGTACCATCTTACGACCACATCATCACAATATCAGGTGGGAGCATGGTCAAGTGCTGGCTTATTCTATAAAAAAAAGAGCAACTTCATGGATTAAGCTGAATTTTGGTTTAGATGTAGACCGCGTGACTGCCTGATCCAGGAAATGTGTATGGTTCCTGAGGAATATGTTTCTTATTTTCAACAAATGTTATTTTTCAGATGGTCCAACACCCGAATGAGAGCTGACAATACATCAGTGGTGACTCTGATGCTGGACCCGCCGGGCCCTCCGCGCGCCACCGTGCTGCGCTCGCGCACCGGCGCCCCGCACCGCACGCACGCCCCGCACGCCTCCGCTCCGCACCCCGCGCACCCCCCGCACGCCTCCGCACCGCCCGCCGCGCCCTCCGCATCCGTCACTCCGGCCACTCCCGCCGCTCCCGCCACTCCCGCCACTCCCGCCGCACCACCAAACGGCGATGGCGACTCTCGGCACGTGCCACAGAATGGTCTCACCATCATGACGCGGTACTCCGAAGTCGACAAACCTGCTTCTGCACCGGACGCCGCCGACAAGACACCGTTGCCCCCGTGTGCCACCCTAGACGGACGCTTCTCCATACCCAGTCGAGAGGAGACGCCGCGCGAGAGCCCCGCAGATACTATCACTAATTATGGCAATCCGGCGGAGTCTTACTTCATGGCGCGGCTGTTAAATCGAAGTCGCGTCGTCAATACGCTGTCGGAGGTTTACGAGGAGATCGTGAACAGACCGACGTCGCGCGCCACCTCGGAGGCCCCCGAGGCGCCGCCCGCCACCGCGCTGCCCGAGACGGCGGGGGACGACGCCGACCAGCCCGCGCCCGACCCTCGCGGCGATGCAGCCCCCGACGCGCCTCCCGCGAACTCCTCGCCGGCCTCGTCCGCTCGTCCGGACCCCGATGGCGGCATACAGATCAACGAAGTGTCGTCCAGCTCGCCCACAGACGCCCCGCGACCTCGCGGCCGCAAGCCTAGGGCCGACGCCAGGCGCGACGTCGTCCCCAACGACCGAGTCCTGCGCTCGCATCCTCACCACGAGCCCGACGCCCCCGGCCGACCCCACACGCGCCAAACTCGCGGCAAGAACCTCGAACGCGTCGTCATCCTGACGCGACGCCCGACCCCCAAGTCAGAGCGCCGCGATCACTCCCCGGCGGTGGAGGCGCGGGGAGTGGGGCGCCGCGCCCCCGACTGCGCCGAGGAGGAGGCGCGCCGGACGCGATCGCAGTTAGCTTCGGGAAACTGCGCGCGCGCCCCGGGGCCGGCGCGGCGTGCCGCGGCGGCGCGCGGGGCGCACTACAAGGAGAACTTGTGCGGGAGGACGCGCGCGCGCACCGCGCCCGCGCCCCGCCTGCGCGCA